CGACCATTAACAGGCCATCAGGGAGAGGCTGACAGTTTGGGGTAGGGCCTTTTGTGGACTCTCCACTGTCCCCTCTAAGCTGGGATGGACTCGGGATCGGCCCCCACTTCCGGCAGGAGACCCCTCCACCATCCACATTCTTTGCAACCAAGAATTTGTGTGTGGACTTCCAACAGCCCAGTGGATGAAGAAGAGCAAGCCCATTGGTGTGGACAAGTCACCCCGAACTGGACCCCCTATGACAGGAGAAAAGCCTCACAGCCCACAGCTTTTGCTTCTCCTCTAAGATTGCCCCAGCTCAATATGCGCGTGAACTTGGACAGTGTCTCCCACCTGCTGGGAGCCTGAGCCCGTCAGGGCCTCACGGGATCCCTGACCTTCTCTGCGTGGGGCTGACTTCCCCACAGCCATCCCAGGCGCCCCCACTCTGGGCCCTGCTATCCTGAGAGTGAATCTGAGCCTGCCCAAGCTACATCCATTCATGCTGCTCAGCCTGCCAGCAAGAGTGCCAATTAGTGCCAATAATCACACACACACACACACACACACACACACACACACACACACACACACACATAGATTCCAGGGCCCCTGCACCAGTGCTAGAGCCCACAATAGGACCCCCCTTCCATGTCACTGCGTGACCCCCTGGCACCCCTCTTTTAGGGTCTGCCCCACACATGTGCAGTCTCCGAGTGATTGATTCTAAACTATGAGTGAAGGGTCCAGGTGGGTGGAAACCATCCTGTCCACCACACCAAAGCGGTGACAGAGCTCAGATCACCTTCTCGAAAACCCCTTCCTGTGCATTTGGATACTTCTTGCTTGGAAGGGATGGCAGGGATTTCACTGTACACATTCCAGCTGGTGTGCTCAAAGCAACCAGAAAACTGTGTGCCCAGCACACCCCCCACCCCCACAGCACCCCTGTGCCTCTAAATTAGCCCCTTTGAAGGACCCGTTGCCTCAGACTGGTCAGTGGGCAGGGGTCACATAGGGGTGCACGGCCTGAGAGCTCGTCTGTCTCCACAAGGACAAACACACTACCTTCACACAGTTGGATGAGACCATCCACCAGTAAACACAGGAGGAGGGCAGGGCAAGAGGGAGTGGCAGGGACCTCATGAAGAAGGCAGATATCACCGGGTCCCCTGGAGAAGAGACACAACCAGGAAGGGCTTCTTAGAAGGGGACTGTTGGAGCTAAGCCTGAGAGATGGGTCCGTCCTTTGGGAAGATCTCAAAAAAAAAAAAAAAAGAAGAAGTTTCTGGACAGAGAAAGGTGAAATTCCTAAGACCCTCTGTGCATGGAGAATCAAGCCAGCGAGTTGCTGTGCCCTAGAGAACAATTCAGCGGCCACACTGACCATGCCCAGGGTGTTCTTAGCAGACATCCCAGCAAAGCCACGCCACCACCAACTACCTTTAAAAGAGCATCTCCAGGGTCTCTGAAAAGCAGAAGCCAGGAGCCCTGGGGTGACCCCCTAAAATGACCAAAGGGGCCTCCTTCATTATAACCAACCCGGTGTGCTCCCAGATTAGTAGCCCCAGAAGTGGGGAGGTTTCTTGGGAGTAGAGTGGCTGGTGAGGGGGGACGCCCACAGGAAATTAGGTTGGAGCCAGGGACATCGGCACCAGACTTGCCGCCCCCAAAGAGGTTCTGCAGAGAAGAGCCCCATCTTCCGTCTGCGGCATCACCAGGCTCATCTTCCTCTGCTAAATAAGTGTTCACGAGAATAAACTTGCCACTCACTCGCTCTAGCACGTCACACATGATGCAGTCTTATTAAACAAATCATCGCCAGAGAGAGACACACACTCATTATACGCTCCGAGCACTGTATTCCCAGCCTTTCCTCTCCCTCCTCAGCTGCTAGCGGCAAACAAAATAACTTAAGTCAAGTGAACAGTTTTAAATGTATAATATCAGAATGTGTGTTTTGGAAAAAAAAACTCCTTGGAACCCTCAGCCATTGTTAAAATACACTCACTTTGATGGATCTTTTGGCATTCCCCCCCCCCTTTTTTTATGAGGCTTTTCAATGGGTTTTCTTATCGGGTGCAGAAGATTTAGTCTGTTCTGCAGAAGAAAACAGACAAAAAGGGTCTCTCAGCACGAGTTACTCTTCTGTAAAGGTTATAGTAAACATGTCAATGCCTAATTAAGCAGAAAATTTTATCTGTATTGTGGGGGAGGCATTTGCTGTCTCCGTCTTTTCTTCTGGGGAATCCATTTAGAAGGACAAAGTAGATTGGGAAGTCGAGCTGGTCTGGAAAGCTTTGGCTTCCAAATGTCAGCAGGAGAAAAAAAGAAAGAAAAGAATGCTTGCTTTCTCCTTGTGTGAAAATTGCTATACTGGTTAGGCTGTGTGTGTGTGTGTGTGTGTGTGTGTGTGTGTGTGTGCGTGTGTGCGTGTGTATGTGTGTATATATGTATGTGTGCGTGTATGTTTTCCTGACCACATGTACATACTCATGCATGCTTGTATATTGCATTGACCACCCCCGCAACACACACACACACACACACACACATACACACACACACACACGGTATCAGGAATTTCTTCCCAGCTGCCTGCTGAGTGCTAGACCCTGTGTTATAGGCACTGAGATTAAAGCAACCTTAGCCAATATGATTTTAAAAAGAAGAAGAAAGAAAGAAAGAAAGAAAGAAAGAAAGAAAGAAAGAAAGAAAGAATTCTCCCCACGCCCCCCACCCCCCAAGATTTCTGCCTGTGCTACATGTCTTCACACTTGCACACACACAGACTCGCAGACTATTCTTTTTTTGAGGGGATAGCATTGATTCTCGGTGTGGTGACTATCCTGCTTGGATTGGAATTTTCTGGATAAAGCATGTCATCCAACGTAGACATAATAAAGCCCCTTTTAGTCTCCAAAGTGACCGTGTTTGAATGATAAAGTTTGCCTGACTCTTGAGCTTATTTTGCTTGGCTTTGCCTTTAGTAACTTACCAGCACAAATCTTTTTCTCAAACACAAACATTAGTCCAGGAAAAAAGAAGTAGTGATGGGGAGCAGCAGGGTGGTATAATTCAGCGCTTCGGTTCTATTAAACTAGAGTTTTCTTGGAAGTAGTGGCTGCCTTATTAGCGGTTGTTTCTCTAGATCAAGTATTTAAAAAAATAATAATAAGTTATTGGAACTGGAAACCAGCAACACCAGCTTAATATCAAAAAAAAAAAATCTACCTGTCAACTTTCTAGGGCAGCTAAAACATGCCACAGTCAGCCATAAAATATCTAATAACTATGAACAGTGAAACTGATTTTTCACTTTTCTGCTTGGCTTTGAGTATCCGGCAGGCCCTTAAAATCAGAAGTTCCTGTCTTCAGCCTTCCCATAATTCCTCCTGAGCTGATAGTGCCGTGAAATCCCTTCAGCGCGAGGGTCTCCACCAAGTCTTCTTATTCTTGTGGTCGGTAATAGAGAGTGAGTGGGCCTCGCTGTGAAGGCCATGGATTCTGTCATCACTGAACAGCCGTCACCCAACCTAACGAGTTGTGTTGTGGGGGTCTTAACCAGAAAGCTCCTCTGTGCAACCCACATGCCCCTCGTGGCTCCTTTAAAAGAGCAACAGACAAAATGAGAAGAAGGCTTTGGAAACGGGGGGCCCCCCTACCTGGGAGGTGGTGGGCTTTGAGCGAGCCTTACTTAGCCTCATCCTGACCTATGCAACTGCCTTCATCTTAACGCATCCTAGTCTCTTCGCCCCACCTCTGCCCGCCTCCCAGGAAGCCCCCATGCCTGCTCACCCCTTTCCCCACCTCTCTCCTTGGACACGGAAAGCAACTACCCCACTGCACGCGTCCCCCCAAAGAAGGGGGAAGGAGCCCGCAGGAAAATGGGGGGGCTGGGTTGAGCCTTGAAAACCTCCCACGGGCTCCTCTTGGTGTTGGTGCTTCTCTGGTCCCTTTCATCATCCACGTGGCCTCGTCACTTTTCCCATCTGCCAGGTGGATATTCGCCCATTTGCTCCCTGTGCTCACGCTTTCTCCGGCTTCCCTTCCCCTGAATCCTTGCTAAGGAGAGCTGCAGCCCCGTGGCATTTTGCGTCTACAAATCAAATGCAAAATTGGCATCTCCTGATGGGTACCCGCAAATCACAGTGCCTTTGAAATTACGGACACCAGACTGCGCGGACATTTCCAGGCCCGTCTGAAAAGGTCTTCCTAAACCTGTTGGAAAATAATAGGAGTGCCCCCCCCACCCCCCACCTCCCATCCTAACGCCATCTGCTATTATTTTTAAATCATTGCATTTGCTGAACTCACATCATTTTCCAGCTCTCAGTGGCAGATTTTATTCAACGCTCTCTAATCTCTCTTCCTGTGGTGGGACTTTCTCCAAACACACACACACACACACACACACACACACACACACACACACACACATTGTTTTTAGTGTTAGAATACAGAAGACCCCGGCTTCTGTATTTCAACACTGGAAGGGCTGTGTATCCAAATTGCTTCTCAACACTCATCATTGATGAAGACTATTGTCTTCCGATACAGCCCGGGGTGTATTGGTGCCCCTCTCACCCATACATCCCGGGGTGCTGGCCTCTCTCACCCACACAGCCACGAAAGGGCAAGTTTTGGTTTTCTTAGAAGCCGATGCCTGTTCTGTAATGCAGGTCTTTCACGGCATTTGACTCATTCAAGCACCTTCCCTGCACATCACATGCATGAGTTTAGCAACCCACCCTTAGAGAAGCGTGAGGGTGATATTCCTTAAACAGGGAAACTATAAACATGGGCATGTAAAGAGCAAAGACGCCTGCCCGTTTACCCACCACGGCCTAGAGGACACAAGAACCCTCATCGTTCGCCTTTTTTCCTGCACCCGTGACTTGCGGTTCACAAAAGTGTGGGTTAAATGGCCTTCCCCTTTGGTGCAGGGCGGCCCTGGTCTCTCGGTAGAGGATTCGAGACGGTCATCTCAGTGCCTTTCCATTTCCTCTCTCCTCCTACAGGTTATGCCCAGGAGGAGCAGCTGAAAGCAGAGGACGACATCAAAGAAGAGGAGGAAGAGGAGGAAGACAGCGGTTCCGTGGCTCAGCTCCAGGGGAGTAATGACCCCGGCACGGACGAGGAGCTAGACACGGGCCCGGAGCTGAAAGGCTGCTTCAGCTATCAGAACTCACCTGGCAGCCACCTGTCCAACCAGGACGCCGAGAACGAGTCTCTGCTGAGCGATGCCAGCGACCCCGTGTCGGATGCCAGGAGCGCCAGTGGCAGAGATGGCTCGGACAAGAAAGCCGGCGCACCCCCCAAGCTTCCCAGCGAACCCCACAATTGCATGGATAAGATGACAGCTGTCTATGCCAACATCTTGTCCGACTCCTACTGGTCGGGCTTGGGCCTCGGCTTCAAGCTGTCGGCCAGCGAGCGGCGCGGCTGTGACACGCGCGGCAGTGGCCACAAGACTGATTTCGACTGGCACCAGGACGCTCTGTCCAAGAGCCTGCAGCAGCACCTGCCCGCCAGGGCCGTGTCCAAGCCCAGCCTGTTCAGCTCGGTGCAGCTCTACCGGCAGAGCAGCAAACTGTGCGGCTCCGTCTTCACCGGGGCCAGCCGCTTCCGCTGCCGCCAGTGCAGCGCTGCCTACGACACGCTGGTCGAGCTGACCGTGCACATGAACGAGACGGGCCACTACCAGGATGACAACCGCAAGAAGGACAAGCAGAGACCCACGAGCTACGCCAAGCCCCGCAAGAGAGCCTTCCAGGACATGGACAAGGAGGACGCCCAGAAGGTCCTCAAGTGCATGTTCTGCGGAGACTCCTTCGATTCCCTCCAGGATCTGAGCGTCCACATGATCAAAACGAAACATTACCAAAAAGTGCCTTTGAAGGAGCCCGTCCCCACTATCGCCTCCAAAATGGTCACGCCGGCCGCCAAGAAGCGCGTCTTCGAGGTCAACCGGCCGTGTTCCCCGGATTCCACCACGGGGTCACTGGCCGAGTCCTTCTCCACCCCCAAGAGCGGCGCCCTGCAGCTCACGTCCAACAACCGCTACGGCTACCAGAACGGGGCCAGCTACACGTGGCAGTTCGAGGCGTGCAAGTCCCAGATCCTGAAGTGCATGGAGTGTGGCAGCTCCCACGACACCTTGCAGCAGCTCACCACCCACATGATGGTCACCGGCCACTTCCTCAAGGTCACCAGCTCCGCCTCCAAGAAAGGGAAGCAGCTGGTGCTAGACCCCTTGGCCGTGGAGAAGATGCAATCTTTGTCCGACGGCCCCAGCAGCGAGCCGCCAACCCCCCGGCCCTCCAGCAACCCCGTCTCCGAGGGTGCGGCTTCCACCACGGAGCTCAAGAAAGAGGGGAAGAGGGACAAGGCGGAGGAGGCCCCCCAGGACGAGAAGGCGGTGAAAAGGGAGGAGTACGAAGACCCCCTGCAAAAGCCCTTAGACCCGACCATCAAGTACCAGTATCTGAGGGAGGAAGACCTGGAGGATGGCTCCAAGGGGGGTGGGGACATCTTGAAGTCGCTGGAGAACACCGTCACCACGGCCATCAACAAAGCCCAAAACGGGGCTCCCAGCTGGAGCGCCTACCCCAGCATCCACGCCGCCTACCAGCTGTCCGAGGGCACCAAGCCTGCCTTGCCCATGGGGTCCCAGGTGCTGCATATCCGACCGAACCTCCCCAACAAACTGAGGCCCATTGCCCCCAAGTGGAAGGTCCTGCCGTTGGTGCCCATGCCCCCCAACCTGGCCCCCTACACGCAAGTGAAGAAGGAGCCGGAAGAGAAAGAGGAAGCGGGCAAGGACGGCAGCCAGGAGAGCCCCCCGGAGGAGGCCTCCTCATTCAGCCACCACGAGGGGGGGGAGTCTTTCCCCAAAGGGGAGCCGCCCTCGGAACCCAAAAAAACAGAGCCCGCTGCCCCCAAGGAGGAGGACAAGGTGCTGCTGACGGAGGAGGGTGAGAAAGAGAAAGGGCCGAGCCCAGAGCCGGCCCCTTCCCTGAGCAACGGCTGCGGCCTGGTCAGCCACGCCTCAGCCCTGCCCAGCATCAACCCGCTCAGCGCTCTGCAGTCGGTGCTCACCAACCACCTGGGCAGGGCCACGGAGCCACTGCGCTCGCCCACCTGCGCCAGCCCTGGCCCCAGCACCATGTCTCTGTTCCACAAGCCCGCCCTGGGCGTCCTGGACAAGCCCGTGCTGAGTCCCGCCTCCACCAGGCCGGCCAGCGTGTCCAGGCGCTACCTGTTCGACAGCAGCGACCAGCCCATCGACTTGACCAAGGCCAAGAGCAAGAAGGCCGAGTCGTCGCAAGCACAGTCCTGCACGTCCCCACCGCAGAAGCACGCGCTCTCGGACATCGCCGACATGGTGAAGGTCCTCCCCAAAGCCACCACGCCCAAGCCCGCTGCCCCTTCCAGGCTCCCGGCCCTGAAGCTGGAGATGGACGTGCGGCGCTTCGAGGACGTGTCCAGCGAGATGTCCACACTGCACAAGCGCAAGGGCCGGCAGTCCAACTGGAACCCGCAGCATCTGCTCATCCTGCAGGCCCAGTTCGCCTCAAGCCTCTTCCAGACGTCCGAGGGCAAGTACCTGCTGTCGGACCTGGGCCCCCAGGAGCGCATGCAGATCTCCAAGTTCACGGGACTCTCCATGACCACCATCAGCCACTGGCTGGCCAACGTGAAGTACCAGCTGCGGAAAACGGGCGGCACCAAGTTTCTGAAAAACATGGACAAAGGGCACCCCATCTTTTACTGCAGTGACTGTGCCTCCCAGTTCCGAACCCCCTCGACCTACATCAGTCACCTAGAGTCGCATCTGGGTTTCCAGATGAAGGACATGACCCGCCTGAGCGCGGAGCAGCCCAGCAAGGTGGAGGCTGAGATCTCCCGGGTTTCGTCGGCTCAGAGGTCTCCGGAAACCATAGCGGGCGAAGAGGACACAGACTCTAAATTCAAGTGTAAGTTGTGCTGTCGGACCTTTGTGAGCAAACACGCGGTAAAACTCCACCTAAGCAAAACGCACAGCAAGTCCCCTGAGCACCATTCACAGTTTGTAACAGACGTGGATGAAGACTAACCCTGCAGGTATGGGTTTGCTCCCAGGTGATGGGGACCCTAGCCTGGTGAGGAGCTTCCGGAGAGGGCCTTGAGGGTTCTGCTTTAGAGGTGGCTAACATCTCTCCCTGTCCCCGGCCAAGTGGGCTGCTGGCGTAGGATGTACTGAGCAGAACCCACTAAGGCAGTCCTGATCCATCTCTCCCTCCCTCCCACTGAGAGAGGGCCAAGTTGGCTCCCGTGGGCACAGAGAGTCGACTGGTCCCTGACACACGGTCCCCTAAGTTATGATCGCCCCAAACCCAGAAGTTACGTCCCTTCAAGGCTACATGTTCAGGACCTCATACCCGCGGACGAGGGCCAGCTCTCATGGTCCACTGCAGCGCCCCCTCCTGGACCAAGGACTCCAGTTTGGAGCCTTTCCTGTGGGGAGTCGCTAGGCAGATGTCCTGATCAGCTCCTGCACAACTTCCGGTTGTCTGCATTAGCACCATTGTATTCGATACTTTCCCGAGCTCCCTTGTAGCAATTGCCATGAGCCTTCCCCTTTGCTTCCTTTCTCCGGGCGTTTCCCCATGAAAGAACGTCTGCCCTGCAGTGGGATGGCAGAAATGAGGACCTCTACAGAACCCCGAAAGGAGCAGAGCTGTTTCTCTCTCCTCCTCTGCTCTGGGTTGGGTAGACCCAAGCTAGAGACCCCCCTTTAACAAAGAGCGATGCGTTCCATGACCCTGAGAAGCACGTGACTTGTGGCACCAACCCCCCCCCCCCACCACCGCACACACACACACTTCTATGTCAGGTGTGGGTCCAGCTACTGGGTTCTTGTCGTGTCTCGGACAAGTTCTGTGCCTTGTGTGGTGACCCGGACCCAGGCAATCTGTTGCCACACCCTGCAAAAAAATACGGAGATGGAGACCCAGGACTAGTCACACCAGACACTTGCGACCACTGAGCAAGGCTGGGTTCCTTTCATCTCCCTTACATATGTTCCCTCCTGGAGGTTTTTTCCCAGCATGATTCCTCCCCTTCTCCCCTCCCCCCCCCCACTGTAAGGACCCTCACATATATTCTGGTGGTCCTCTGCCTTGGACCACACCCCGGGACGGATATGCCACCTGCCTTAGCCCTGGGCACTTGCTGCCCACTTGATCTCATGCTAGGCTACATAGATGAGCTGTTCTGCCGGATTTGCACTCAGATAGGAACAAGTAATAAGTTCACATATAAGCCTCCATCCCCTTCCCCCCTCTGTCAGGGCACTTGCTTTTGATAGGAGCCCCAGGCAAGTACCTGATGGACAGGTGTCCGTGTAGGCGTTCTTGGGGAGATAGTGTAGGAATGGCCAAAAGGCTCGCTTGACTGTCCCCCGACTGAGAAGATTCAAGAACAGCTGAGAAAGGAAGGCGGGGGCGGGAGGGGGTGCCTCGAACTCTGTGTCTCTCTGGGCTCAAAGGAAGACAATGGTTTTGTTTGCATGTTTTTTAATCATGATCATTAAAATGTGTTACTGACAGATCCATCTCTTGGTACCCAAGCATGGTTTGTTCCGCTCACCTTATCAAAAGGAAAGATGAAAGGTAGTTCTTAAATCTCTGAGCTTGGGGCTCCCACCTGTCCTGTTTACTTGCTGTGTAACATTTGAAGGGCTTATGTCACTTGCTAGTAGGCTTTGCCAGTCCCTCCACACAAAACAACAACAACAACAAAAAACCAGAAAACAAAAAACAAGGTGGGTCAACTCAGGATACTCAGAGGGAAAAGAGAGATTTTCAAGTTCAAAGTGGCAGGTCGGAACCATGGAGAAAACAAAACCAATGAGGTCGTGTTTATTCATGCTACAATAAAGACCAATTTTCCACCTGTTAGGTTTGTAATCCTTTTTTCAAATTTTGTATCACTGCCCAAAGTTTGCGAAAATCCCATAGGGAGCGGGAGACAGAGAAAGAGTTTGCTAAAATTGGACGCACGCATCCCAGTCCAAAGAAACCACCAGAAGCCAGTTAGTCTGGGGAAATTCCTCTGTCAAAGATGCTCGTGGATCCCTCGTGCTCATCCACAGCCCAGTTCTGTCTTCAACTCTGTGCTAGTGGCATAAATGGGTCTGATTTACATCTTCCACATCCCAGGGTGCAGAGTTCCTGTGTGAGACTAAAGCTTCCTCCTGTGTCAACAGAGTCAGGCCGGAAGCATGAGGATGGGGAAGGGGTGTGTTGGGATTCAGTCAAAGCCCTGGGGAGAAATGTGTGTGGGGGGTAGGGGCTGGGGGGGGTACAAAACAGGTAACTTTGTGTTAAGGTAAAGAGACCCGTGTCTCTCCACCTGCACAAAGGTGCTTTCTAGGGTTTGGGTCCACCTAGAAAAGGGTCCCTCCATTCTCCGGGGGCCTCTTTTTAGAACATGTCTTCCAGATGCGTCTGTGACTTAGAATGATACTTAGATGTTGTTAAGTGGTTATGGAAATGAGGTCACTCTGTTCTCTGAAACTCTATTTTGGTTAAAATGCACAATCGTCCCAAAAGTAGGAGCCAGCAGGAGGCTTTGGAAAGCATCGTTGAGCTTTTTTTTTTGAGAATTTTGGAAACTTTACTGTATCTCTGTTCTCTGTAAAACACAATTTTGCCTGGATTTTCTCTCTTTTCTGGGACCTGACTTCAATCCTGCTAAAACTCTGCTTTGGGAAAAGTAACGCTGTTTTTTATCTAAAATGAATGAGAATGCATGAAATGTGTCTCCCAACTTCAGTCTTCGGACCATTTCAGTCAGCCTTTGTCTCAGAAGCGTAAGGGTTTGACATCGTAGCCAAGGTCATATGATGCATTACCAGTTTATTCTAGAAATGGGTGCCAGATGTGCCACTGAGTCCAATAAGTCAACATCATTGTTGATTAAGAAAAAAATGGAGAGAAGAGAGGGCTAGATATTCGTGAGACAAAAACCAGGAGGATCAGTCCTGTGTGATTTTCAGATCAACACCAAGTAACTTCTATGGGCTTTCCCCAATCAACCGTATGTCTATGAAGAATATCTTCATTGTGAGGTTCACCTTTAGTTGGACATTCTGTGTCTTCCTTTGCTGTCTCTGGTGCCCTCACAGTATGGATTACGTGGCAGTTGTGATGAGCCCAGATCTGGGTGAGTTAGTGTCTGGAGAGGCACCAACCTCTCAGTTCTTCCCCCAAGGAAATAGTCAGCCCTCTTCCTTCCCTTCCCTCCCGCACTCCTTCCCTTATTTTGACCTCCTCCCCCTTTCCTCTCTATGCCTTTATTCCATTCTTCACAAATACCGAGTGTGCTTTTACTGCACCCCTGACTTGATTGCACAGTGGGAATCAAATCAACACAGTGACCCAACAGTTGAACTGACTGTAGTTGTCAAATACACCAGGCCTGGGGACAAGCATACTTCTCTCTATTCTCGCCAACAGTCCTGAGAGGGAGAGGATGAAGTGGAGGTGTGAATCCCTCATGTTCCCCATCTCTGAGCTTTCCATGTTCATTCCCCCGCCCACCTGGGAACTCTCCCCTGGTGCCCGGCACTGGGCTAATCCAGGGGCATAACCAGTGAACACTTGAGCCAAGTGTGCTCTGGGGAGAGACACAGATGGGCAGTCTGGGGCAGACACTGGGTGAAGCATCCTCCAGGCCATGTGATGGAGAGGGAAGACCACTGGCTGCTAAGACCCTCCGTGTTCAACCCCTCTAACACAGACCCTGAGCCATGCATTAGGCCACATCCACAACCTGTGGACATTGTGAACATAACCCGCCAGAATTCAATAAATGCAACCACTCTGTGCTAAGCCTGGTGCATCAGGGGTTCCTAAAAAAGTTCCTTCCAGACTCTCTCGGTGAGCTCCAGCCATGTTCTTCAATCACTGCCACCACCATGCTAACACCCGAAGGACCCCACCCCCCACCCTCCTTTTGTAAAGAGCTCAAGGGTTTCACAACTTCTCCAAAGACATGCAGTAAGCAGAGAAGTGGGATTCGAACCCAGAACCTCTCAATGCTCACCACCTCCCAGGCCAGATGTGCATGGCACCATACAGCCAGGGTTCTTGGGGGATCCTGGGGGGGCTCCAGCTGCGATGACCCTCGACAATGTGCCAGCTGGGGCTGACTCGTGAGAGCCAGCACAGCCCCCTCCACTTCTTAATCACCACTTCCTCCTGGGAACAGGAAGTTCCTGTTATCACGGGCTGTTTTCCTGGGATCCTAATCCCAAGAGAAACAGCCATGCATGGGGCTTTGGAGTTGTCCGATCTTGCCCCGAGTTCCTCCAGAAATCGTGGTGAGGAAGCAGAATGAGAATCGGGGAGCAGAGACGCCAAGCCTTCCCGACACTCCACAGAACCCACGTGGCAGCCCTTTGAACACGTTCACATCCGCCCTGGTGTGAGCAGTCTTCCCTCCCTGAACACAGCCCCGGCGACGTTTCTCCATCTCTGTCGAGGCCCCCCTCCCCAGCCCGGACTTCTGAATGCTCAATCCTGACGTGTATAATTTGGTGCTTTAATATAGAGTAACATTATTTTTCATTTACTCCAATCTGCCATCAGTATCATCTTTTCATTTAACCAGATGCAATTCTTTTTTCTCGCGCTAAATTGAAAATCCATGAGCGACAGGGAGGGCGATGTTTTAATTAGCTCATATTTTTTATATGGATTTATGTCTTTAAAGTACATTTGTGTAATTCTTCAGCTAAATTAAAAACGTCTTTCTGCGAAAGTGAGGAGGGGAAAATAGAGAGCGGAACTGTGTCATTAGCTGAGGTGGGGACGCACGAAGAGAGACACGGCGGCGTCACTGGGGCTGAGATCTCAGCTCACTGTGAACTTGCTCCGCCTCGAAAGAAGTTATTCCCTCTCCAGATTTCCCCCAAAATGACTCCAGGTGGGATTCTGTTTTTCCCAAGTCCCCTCCTAAGGGAACGCTTACCTCCAGTGAACTAATTTGAAATGAAACCTGACACCACACAAAACAAACCCCCCCATCTCAAAAAAAGCAGTTCTTTCACCATTCCTCTTTGTCTTTTCCCCGCCCCCCTTAAACTATCCAGTTTAAAGCTTTGCACTGAGCTTTTTTTTTCCCCCTACTTTCTAGGAGACAAGTGACATTCCGTGGAAAATGGGAGAAAGAGGCAGGCAGCCACTGAAATCGCTCTAATGCGTTGACACTAACTTGCCCTCTATTGTTGGAAATGAGCAGGCGCTCGTGATTGTTCATCAAACGGCTCCTAATGCAGTTAAAGCATTCAGCTATAATTTCTC